AAATAGGAAGTATTACATAATTCAGATTCATCTGCAATATAAAAAGTATAATTTTCTCTATAATAAATCAGTAAAGTTATTCAAAACCTCTTCTTTAACAGTATTCAAGAAGAAATTTTTTTAGTATGCTTCCAATGATAGAAAAAAGGAAAAATATTTAATGAGAATATAGTTTAATTAACAATACTTAAATAATCATAAAAAATAAAAAAAAAATAATAAAATAAAAAAAAATTATAATAATAAATTACAAAATGAAAACATAATTTAAATAATGAGAACAATTTAACATATCATCATAATTTTGATTAGTAAAACAGTTAAGTTTCGACATTTTCAATCAAATTAAATTGAACTGTCAAAATTGAGACAACTTTTTCGTTTATATAAAATGAGTTCGTATTTTATATAAATGAAAAAGTTGTATTATTTTTAATTTAGGGGATTTGGGATTTCTCTATTTCCCAGTTCGCAATGGCTTAGTGCTCGCCAGCCCTGGGCTAACTCAAAATTCTTGCATTTGCCAGCACTGGAGCTGGTTGTCATTAAAATTCAGTTGCAACTGTCCGAAGCTAATTAAATCCGAAAGCATTTGACGAGGCGTAGTTCATGTTAGAACCCAGAAGCGAGCAGTAGACGCCTCCAGTGGCGGCTCAGTGGAACGTGGAACTTAAGTAATAGTCAAAGAGACTCAAAGTACAAAAATAGTGAATATCAATTAGTCTCACCTGTGTTGACCTGTGTGAAACGGAAAAAAAAACAAAATACAACAACAACAACAACAAAGTAAAGCAACAAAAATATAGAAAAACTTACAAAATGGAGATCATTATACGGTTTTTCGGCCTTATACTATCCTATCTGGCGCTGCTGCTCAACCGAATTTTGGAATACGTGATTTGTCGAGAGCAGCCCGACTACCCACCCATCAGGCATCCCCTGCTGCTGAAGTCCGTTCTGGAACTGGTGACGGCACTGCGACGAGGCCAGGTGATATTCGATCAGACGGAATTGTGTAATTGAAATTTATTCAAATTTATTATTCTCGAGCAGCTCACCTCACAGCAACTGGTCGAGGTTTATATTGAGCGTGTGCGTGAGGTCAATCCCTCGCTGAATGCGGTCATCGAGGATCGGTTCGAGGAGGCGCTGCTCGAGGCGAAGCATGCGGACAGCTTGATTGCCGAGGCATCCCTGGACTATGATCGCGTAGCGCTCTTCACGCGCTACCCGCTCTTGGGCATACCCTTCTCGGTGAAAGAGTCGTGCGGGGTGAAGGGTAAGCATGACACTTAACTGATGCTCCTCTTCCTCTTCGTCTACATTTTCAACATCTCTGCTCATCGAGGACTCTCCTATGCCGTGGGCAGCGTGCTGCGCAAGGGCATGAAGGCGCCCAGGGACGGAGACGTTGTGGAGCTGGTGCGCGCCGCTGGTGCCATTCCGCTTCTGGTCTCGGCCACGCCCGAGTTCTGCATGAGCTTCGAGACGAACACGGTGGCCAATGGTCGTTGCCGCAATCCCTACGATCTGACACGCACCTCCGGCGGCTCGTCTGGCGGCGAGGGCGCATTGAATGGCGCCGGCGCCTCCCTGTTTGGCATTGGCTCTGACATTGCCGGTTCCATCCGGCTGCCGGCCATGTTCTGCGGCGTCTTCGGCCACAAGCCGACGGGCGGACTCACCTCGATAAAGGGCCACTTCCCCTACTCGCTGGTCGACGAGAACTTGCCCAATTACCTGCAATTGGGACCCATCACACGCTTCGCGCGCGACATGCCGCTGCTGCTCGAGATCATGGCCGGCGACAACAAACACAAGCTGAAGATGAATGAGCCGGTGCCGCTCAACGAACTCAAAGTAGGCTATGAACATGCTCTCAATTATGAATACTCTGTTTTCTGCGGGCACGCGGGTATATTGGTTTGGGTGGTGGACTAGGAACTGAAACTCAGGAAACCAAATTAGGATAAGAAAATATGTATACTCTTCGTTAGTTAGCCCTATTCGTTAGGTTAATGCGGGTATATTAGGTTTGTGGAAATTCCAACTCAGGAAAATCACTCGATATGGAATTGCTACTCCGGAAATATCTCTCTATAATATGTAAACCTCGTTTCGCTATAGGCATATGTAATTTAGAAATGTAAATGTAATGTATGAATGTAGTATGGAATTTTGATACTCTTTGTCTATAGGGTATAATAATATTTGGTTGAGGCAAAACTTTGATCATAAAGAGTATATTAGTTTTCCATTAGTTTATTTTCACGTGCGGTCTCCTAGTACCTTACCCAAACCAAGATCAGTTTAGCTATAATAATGCTTCAAATAGACAACACTGGGTGCTTTTATTTGTAAGATTCAAGGATTCGCTTGAAATTTTTAGAATTCTAGACAACTCTTTTAGCCGCATGAACAGAGTATATTATACAGTTAGCTATCCCTGGCCGTACTATATTTAACTATTCCATTCCATAGATCTACTACTCGTATGGATATCCGGGCTTAAACGGCTTAACCCATCCGTATGTGGCCGATGACATCAAATTAACCATTGTGCGTGCTCTGACATGCTTGGGGAAGGCGGGCATTGAGTCCACACAGGTTGGTCCAAATTGTCATCAAATACTTTAATAATACCTACTCATCTGTCTCTTTCTCTCGATCTGCCTCTTTCCCTCTCTCAGCTCGATCTCAGTTTTCTGGACAACATTTTTGAGCTGGTGATTGTGGCGCTGGTCGATCTGAAGGGTCTGCCCAGCATTATCACGCAGCAAGCCGGTCGTCCGCCCAATATGAGACTCCTGGTCTTGGAGATGTTCAACAGCATCATTGGCCATTCACTCTTCACCAAGGAGGCGCTGTTTCTGGAGCTGATGCAGCGGCTGAATGGTATGATATCCACCAATAAAATGCAACAGTACCGTGATGAGGTAGCCAGGATCAAAACACATCTAACGGTAAAGTGCACTAGATCCCATCCTTTATAGATTATACTTTAGAATGCGCATTTCTTTTCCATAGGAATTGCTGGGAGATCGCGGAGTCCTGTTTCTGCCCACCTTCCACTCGACTGCTCTGAACTTCCATACCTCCTTGTTCAATATCACGGGCATCGATAGTCTGTTGTTGTTCAATGTGTTGGGCTTCCCGGCCACACACATCCCTATGGGCCTAAGTTTGGCTGGCACGCCCGTCGGGTTCCAGGTGATAGCGGCGCCGTATCAGGACAAACTTTGCCTGCAAATCGCAGCCGAATTGGAGGCAGCTTTCCTTGGCTGGACGCCGCCGGTGCTGCATCAGATTGCCGCTCCGGAGACCCCAGTGCTCAATTTCTAGACAAATAGCAGAATGGTTAGTTAAGGTTACGGTTCAATTGATATTCGCAATAAAAACAAAAAGAGTTTTATTCAAATAATAACGACTGGGTATGTGTGTAAGCGATCGCATATGTGTGTAAGTAAAGCTTCGCTTAAAGCTTTGAGCACTCTCTCTCTCTATCTCTCACTTCTCTCCAGCAAACGCGCGCACACCAATCACGTTCAGTTTTTTGCTCTCTCTTCATTTTGACTCTCACTCTCTGCACGATTGAGGAATACTTATATTTGAACACTTGTGCGTGTGTGTATCAATATCACTTAACGCCAGTGCTGTGAATCTGGCTATTTTTGCCGTTAGCTCATTTGTTTATAAAAACAGAATGTGCCTACAATTGTGGAGGAAATTATAGATACATTGAATTTGTTAATAGTTATTTTTACAGCTTATAAAAATATCAATATCAGAGAAATGCCTTGAGAGTTATTTAGCTTTTTCTACTAGCTATCTGGCCTTGAAGACAACTCTGCATTCAACTGCGTGTGGACTTTTACTAGCATGTAGCATACACATATCGAACGTTCTCTCTCTTCACAACTGTCTCTCTCATTCTCTCACTTGCACTATGTAAACAAGATTTTATAATCCATTTATTTGCGCTCATTTAGTTAGTGTGCAGCCGGCGTTGGAGCGAGGGAGTCGAGTTTTCATTTCTCTTCTTTTGCGTCATGGAATTAATACCGCGATTACTGTTAATATTTGTAAAATTTGTTGCTATTTTTGCGAGCACTCTGCAAAGTGCGTATATCTGGGCATGCGGACGTCGAATTAGGTCCTATGGTCTGCCAGCCAACATAAATCCGCTGCTGGCGCTGAGTATTCAGGAGCTGCGCACACGTCTCTGCCGGCGGCAGGTAACTGAACAAGAAGTGGAAGACAGCGGAAGAGCAAACAGTTATCTTAGTGAAAGCTTTTATGCCCTTTGCCCAATTGGCTTTAAATCTTCGTTTTTGTATATTTTACTTGTTTTTTTTATAGACTTTAAACTTTATTTATCTTTTAGATAACCGCAGTGGATTTGGTAGACGCCTATATAGATCGCATTAAGCTGGTGAACAGTCGCCTGAATGCGGTCGTATCGGAGCGCTTTGCGCAGGCGCTGCGCGACGCCGCCAATGTGGATGAGCGCATAGCTGCAGCGGGCGAGAATGTGGCACAACTGTTCGAGAAACAGCCGTTGCTGGGTCTGCCCGTCACTGTGAAGGAGTCCTGCGCCCTGGCCAACATGTCCTTCACCGTGGGCAGTCTGGCCAGGAGTGAGCAGAAGGCAACGGCAGATGGCGTCGTGGTTGCACGGATTCGCGCTGCTGGAGCGATTCCTTTGCTGGTCTCAGCCACTCCCGAGTACTGCTATTCGACGGATACGGATACCTTACTCAACGGTCGCTGCGTGAATCCATTCGATTTCGAGCGCACGCCGGGTGGCAGCTCAGGCGGTGAGGTGAGAGTTCAATAAAGACTACCTAAAGAGATCAGGTGACTAATCTTTTCAGGGCGCTCTGATTGGAGCTGGGGCCTCGCTCTTTGGCATCGGCTCTGACATCGGTGGCTCCATACGCATTCCCAGTTTCTTTTGCGGCATCTTTGGCCACAAGCCTACCGGGGGCGTGGTCACACCGGCRGGTCACTTTCCCGACTCGAGCGATGCGGATTTCCAGCAGTATTTGGTGGTGGGTCCGATGTCCCGCTTTGCCGTCGATCTACCCCAGCTGCTGGAGCTGATGGCCGGCGAGCAGGCGGTGCAGCTGCGTCTACATGAGCCGCTCCAGCTGAATCAGTTGCAGGTGCACTACGCCTTGGGCTTTCAGGGTCTCAACGGTTGGATGCATCAGCAGGTGGAGCCGGAAATTAAAGCATCCATACTCAAGGCTGTGCAACATCTGCAGAAACAGGAAGTTCCTGTGCACCAGGCGAAGCTGTCAGGATTCGACAATTCCCTGGAGATTGCGCTCGGCGGCATCGCTCGTTTGAGACAAATGCCGTTTTTGCTGGATGCCGGACCCGCAGCGGGAGCTGAGAGCAAAGTGCGGGAGACTCTGAAACAGCTGGTTCAAAGTTTGTATGGCAAATCTTGTTACACTACGAATGCTTTGATCTTTGATCTGATGCGTCGCTGCAATGCGTTCATGTCAGTCCAAAAGCTGGAGAAATATCAACGGGAGGCACTGGCGCTTACTCGAGAGTTGACTGTACGTACAGCCACCTAACACCTGCCACCTACATCTATTTATCTTCTTTCCCTCTAATCCTCCAGCAACTTCTGGGCGAAAACGGCGTCCTGCTCTTTCCCACAATGCATGCTCCGGCTCCGAAGCATGGCTGGACACCGTTGCAGCTGTGGGGTGTGGACTATACGCTGCTCTTTAATGTACTGGGTCTGCCGGCAACGCATGTGCCAATGGGATTGAATGGAAAGGGTTTGCCCATTGGATTCTCGGTGGTTGCGGCTCCCTATCAGGATCGGTTATGCCTGCGTGTAGCTGTGGAACTGGAACGAGCCTTTGGCGGCTGGCAGTCACCAAATGCCAAGAAAACTTAGCCAAATCGCGAAATGATTGTCAATTTAAAGGTTCATTAAATCTAAATTTTCACAACAGAAATTTCCAAAACTTTTTATTCAAATCTTCGCTTGCGCCATCTATCGTAATTAACAAGTAACAAATACATACAAAAAGAAAAACACCCTAAATAATATTCTTTTGCGAGTCACTTTGAACTTCAAAATATGCCTTAACAAAAATACTTTTAGTACTAAAAATACCAAGTGTCTGAAAGGCATTCAAATAATTAGTATTCGTTACATTCAAATTGCAATTTCCGTCATTTAAAAAAATACCAAGAGTATATGCACTTTCTACAATTACATAAATGATCAAAACAAATTAATAAAAATTAAATATTATATCTTTCAAATGACAAAATGGATTGAAATGATTTTTTTAATTCAAATACATGAGAATTGTTCTAGTCAAATTAATTTTTATGCAATATTTACGTTTTCCATAACAATTTATATGATAGCTCTATTTCCCGCCTTTTGAACGCATAACTGGTCACTTTTAGTATATTTCAACACAATTTTCGGTATTTTCTCTTTTGCTCAACCAACAGATGTTATGGCGCTCTCACTCACTCTCTTGCTTCCACAGTATTGCAGTATAGATGTATTGGTGAACTCGCGTGTGTTTCGTTTTCGTTTCGTATGTGTGTTTCGTATCAGCGTTACTTCGGTCGGGGTTCACTTCGTTTGTTGTCATAGCGCGAGAGACTTTCGAGTAGAACGGACGTCGATTTGTATACGCGAGCTCAAAAGAAAAAAGTGGAAAATATTGTTGGAAAGATATATTCCTCATAAGAAATATAACACACAGACCATAGCATGGGAACTTAGCGGATTAACCTACTAAATACGTGTCGCAGTGATACGAAACTATTGATAGAGAATTAAAAGAGATCAGAAACGTGATCTTGTAGCGCAGTGTATCACATAACCAATCAAGCTGGTCCAGAATTATTGGCATTGCGCGTAATCGTCACTTAAACAGAAATAGAAACGAGAACGTACAACATTTTGTACAACAATTAAATAAATGTGCGCGTGTTCAATATTTTGAAAACGCAACAACAAGTGGAAGTACAACAACAACAACAGCAGCAGCAACAACAAGAAGAACGGGAACGGGAAGTGCTCGCTCAACAAGTGTTACGAATAAGCACACTGGGATTATCTAATAAACCAATAATATACATAAGACTCATACCCGTACCTCCCCAAAATATAATAATAAAAGAGATTATATACCAAATAGGCAGCATAAATATTAAATTTAAACCAGTCAAGTGTTTGAGAGCTCTGTGTGTGAGTGCTCTTCTGTATATGTGTGTGTGTGAAACGAGCAACAGCAGCTACAACTAAACAACAACAGCAACGACAACAACAACAAGAGCAGCAGCAACAATACGGCAACGTCAACAACACGCAATTGCTGTGAGCGCGACGGAGACAGCAACAGCGTGAGTCATAAAAGTGAAATAAAAATGCGGATAAAGAGAGAAGCGCCGTGTCTACTGTTATTTATGCCATTACCAAACAATAACAACAACAACAACAATCGCATTGGCGGTAAGTAAGAAAACAAAATCTGAGAATAAATATTTAATTCATATTAGCTAGAATTACTCACTCAAGTATTTTGAGATTAAAAACGAGGCAATTTTCCCGCTTGGAATGCCTGCTGTTTACTTTATAAACTTTGCGCGCTCAAGCGCAGCCCGCTAATATGGCAGAGGGGTGAGAGCGGGGCTCATAGCACACACGTAAGCAGCAGTAGTAAGCAGTGCTGGTCGGGTATGCTTTTTTCCCGTCAAATTTAGCTTTTTTTTTTAAAGCGGCATCCAGCGGAAATTGCGGCTTGTTTGCTGCAAACTCGTCATCATCATCGTAAAAGTATCATTTTATTGGAGCCAATTAATGGTTTTAGTAAATTATCAATTCTTATCGAGGTCGAGTGCTTCGCTTCCGCTTGTTTGTTTGCCAAATATTCGCAGCTTGAACTAGCGCTATTTTATACATACTGAAAAGGCAGCAGCACTATTGTTTAATGTAAGCGTCGTCAACGCTTGTCTGCCGTGCGGGCCGATGCCTTCCCCTGCGCGCCCTTCGCGCACATTCGCCAGCGTTTTTAACGAGTCAGACTCGAAGTCAGAAGAGGCAGAGCGTCGGTTTCTACTTACTTCATACGTGACTCACATTCGCGTGTCTTTCAGAAATAAAAGCAAACGAAAAAAGAAGCTTTTTTTTGGTTCGTTGAGAAAAAAATGTAAAGCAAAGCAGGTTTGTGCGACAGACTGGCAACTCTGGCAACGAAACCCGCTTTGAAACGACCTTTCGAGTACGAATTCGTCGGCACAGCAACAGCAACAACAAGAAGAAAACGCAACAGCCTCTGTCGGCAGCGGGCAGCAACAACTCTAAAACTTGGCGAAGTTTCAGTACACACACACATACATGCAAGTGTACATACGTATGTATGTGTGTATATGTTTGCATGTACAGATGTATGTATGTTCGGTGCATTGGCATGCGATTTGACTTGTTTCTGTTAGCCACAACAACAGGCAGCACAACATTTCCTGCCGCGAGTGAAAACTTTATACACATACATATATAATTTTTTTTGTTGGTTTTTGTCTTTTGAGGCTTTGAGGTCGCTCGAAACTGATAAGCGAAGTTTCAGCTCTACAAATTGTTGCTTGCTTGTGTTTTTTATTATTATTATTATTTTTGTGCCTTGCTCAGCATAAAAGCTACAACCACTGGCAACTGTTTATGCGGCAGCCGCTGTGACTGATAAGGTTTCCACTCCGCACACACACAGCCATATACTACACACATATGTATTTACGTATGCATGTGATCGCCTAAGCCTCTGCCATTCATTCAAATGATAAGCGCTTTCCAAGCTCCGTGTGCCCTTTTTCTCTTGTCTCGTGTAAAGCTTTGCATTTTGGGCCTCGCTTTGGTTACGTTTTCGCCTCGCTCTGCCTTGCGCGCTAATCAAGCTGCGTGCCGAAATAAATGTCTTACGTCAGTTTGTCAAACAGCAGCAACGAATATTTGCGGTTTTTTTTGCTGTTGTTGTTGTTGTATATTTGATTTGAATTGTATGTATGTACGGATGTATGTATGTCTTAATGTATTCATGTGAGTCGGCGCGACAAGTTTTTAGGTATTGGTTCAGATCGAGAGAGCTGACGTCATTTGATCACAACCAAGCGAAGCGAACAAAAATTCAATTCCAATCAAAGAAATCGATATTTAATCAATTTTTCTGTATTGCAGCTAATCACAAGGACTATCCCAACAACAAGCGTTCCAGGGAAAATCTGGCATGTGACGAACAACAGCTGACGGCGACGTCAACGACAGCAGCAATGAACGCTGGCAGCAATGGCGGCCGAACGCCGCCGCTCATGCGCAGCTGCTCCAGTCCGGCGGTTTACGGTAAGTAAACTTGTAACTGTAATTGTAACCAAATAACTGTAATTAAATACACATGTACATACGTGGAATGGGCAAGTGTTGAGCACTTGCAAAAATGAACCAGTTCGCATTGCAATCCAGTTGCAGCTATCTATTTTCGTTGCACATTTATCAGCTGTCAAATCTGTTATCTGCATATTTGCATGTACGCTGTTTGTGCTTTTCATTGCATTTCATTTCCTCATCAGAGACAGCCTAGCTTAGAGAGACCTTCTCCAACACTACACACTTGATTAGCTTTCGCTCTTTGCTGCAATCTACCTACCTCTCTTCCATTCTCGCTCACTCACATGCTCGCTCGTTCACACACGCGCTGTGTAAAGCTCTGCTTAACATTATAAATAAACAATGTTGTTTTTGTTTTAGCACGTGCTGCCATGATAAACATGATGCCATTGCGCTGCTCTCGTTCAGATTGTTTCATTCTTTTCGCACGTTATGAAATATACAACATATGCACCACAAGCAGCAAAACATGCACAACAACAAAAACAACAATAATAATAATAATTGCACTTGACAAAAGCAAAAACAAACAGTGAAAGAAAAGAAAAACTACAAATTAAGATAGTAGCGCGAAATGTTCAATGTCGAACTTTTGGCAGCTGTATTGCCGAATGTAACAAATTACTCATTACGTTACGCTATTCGCTGGCTGAGCTTTTGCGTGAAGTGCAAAGTGTACACAAAGCCCATGAGCTCAGCCCTAAATCTTATTGCTGAATGTGTAAGCCAGAAGGAGAGAGTGGGAGAGATGGTGGGAGGGAGAGGACCGCTCCTGTGTTTTGCTGTCACTGGTCAGCCATGTGATCGCGCTGTGATGCAAATAGATTTCAATGTCGCGCGTTTTTATGACAGTGCTGAGATTTCTTATTGCCATCTCGCTCCGGCCGCTACACGTTTTCGAGAGCTTTTCACGCACAGGTCACTCCAATGCATTTTGTCATTCTCGATTCCTGTTTACGTCACTGGGCCTATCGCATTTGAGTCATAATTCGTACGTTTTACTGTTGCTGTTGCTGTAATTTAATTGCATATACTTAATAGTGTTTGTTTTCGCACTTACTGTTTAATATGTTCATTATTATCAGTAGATAGCGTAAATACCCCGCATTTCATATTATGACAAATCACATTTTTTTGGGGTCGCTTTCCTGGGTATTAATGTGTGTGCCTGTGTGGGCCTTACCCTGAAGGTGTATGACTAATGCAATTGATTTCCGTGTCACACTGTGACCCACAAAACGTAATTACAAATACTAAATGCAAGCATGTGTGTGTGTGTGTGTGTGTGTATGTGCATGGGCCCAAAACATTGGGCCAGTTGTTGCCTTGGCTATCAATTAACACGCGAACGACAGAAATAATCGATGAATTGGAAACAGCCCGCAGCATAATGCGCAGCCAACTAAGCATAGGCCGACAATAGATACGTAGATAGATAGATACACAGATACAAAGATAGATGAACTGAACGATTGTGCGCCTCATTGAAAGTGCTACGAACCCAGCGGAAAAAAAATAGAGAAAAAACGACGCAAAATATTGTGAAGCGACCGCAAACGCGCGGGGAGCTCAAATGGGTAGAGGGCAGCACCTCCAACAACCCAATCCAATCACCCATCCAACCACCCCCGCACTCGGCAMCCACCCACCCAGCCTAGCCGAGCCACCACCCCTGGCTGCTTGGCCCGCAGACGCCCACAGCAAATGCCAATAAAACTAAACTGTGCGATTGCTCGAATGACTCATGCAACAACAAACGAAGCGAAGGCGCAGCAACAACAAAAATAAACAACAATTTGTTGTACGAAATTTAGACGCTGTTGTAAACACACACATACAAAGAGACAGACACATACAGACAAACACACACACACAGACAGTTGCACACAACAATAGATACACACAGCGTTGATCATCAACATCATTTGTGGCAACGGCTCTTTTGTTGCATGACATCGCAATTGGCAGACCCCAAAGAAAGAGCTAGAGATACTACACTGAAAAAAATAATAATAAAAAAACTAGGCATTATAGCAATTTTATGAAAAACTTAAAAGTTTTATTTAAGAGCAGGTTTTAAGATATTTCTCAGCAAACTTAAACTTACACCCAATTAGTATTATCAAAAAATTTTAGATTTCCAATTCTATGAAGCTTGAAAAGCAAATCTTTAAATCTCCAACTTAAATAAACTATGAAAACTCTTTGATTTAAGAGCAAAGTTCTATGGAATAATATTCAAAGTACAAGTTCAAAGAATCAAAGTAAATTCAAAGAACTTTTTTAATCATGAATAAATATTTTTTTTTAAATTATCAAATTCTAAGAAGTTAAACATTATTTTGAAATGAAGAAAGTTCTATTTAAATTAAAAACTGTTTGATTTGATAAGAACAGATAAGATTTCGTACATATACATTTTTTGTGTAAATCTTTAGAGATAAAGAAACTATACACTAATTCTATAGCGATTTTCATTAAATCTAGACCTAGTTATAGAGTTTTTCCACCACCATCGAAAATTTGCATATATCTAATCAATAAATTGATCGATTTATTTTGCAGATATCGAAACACATCCCGCTTCGCCAGTATTCCCACATCTGCTGCTGGGCAATGGCCGGGATGCGGACGATCCCAGCAGCGTGGGCGCCAATTGTGTGTTGAATGTTACCTGCCAAAGTCCCAGCGAGAGTCATCTGCAGGGTCTGAAGTATATGCAAATACCTGCCAGCGATACGCCCCATCAAAATATTAAACAATATTTTCAGGAGGCATTCGATTTCATAGGTAAGTGTTGCCAATAATCGATAATCGATAAGCTCACGTAAAACGTGACTGGCCAAAAAGGGCATTAGGTGTCGGGAAAGGGGAAGTGGCAGGGCCAGGGGCAGCTGGTGTCAGATTTGCGTAACGGAAAATTCATTTGCCTTTGTTTTTTTGTATTTTCGTAATATTTTCTTTCTTTCTGCTGCCATAAGCAGTTTTTTCTTTCTTTCTTTTAATTTCTCTCTTGTTTTCAAGGCATATGGAAGAAGAAGCGCGTTTATTTAGTTAATTTTAAGTGTAATACGTATGTCTACACACATATATACACATGTATATGTGTGTATATATGTATTTGAATGTTCCGTCTGTGCTATAGTATCTACAGCCGTGGAATATTTTGCTGACGTCAATCGCATTTTTCCATTTTCGTTTTTCTCCCAACAAAAGTTCTTCTACATTTATACAAATTTTTTTTTTTTTTAATTTTAATTTATTTATGTTTTTGTTGTTGTTTTTTTGTAGAACTAGTCTAAGTAGTAAGCGGCACGTGGGCACACGAGCTTAGCATTGTTTGTTTTTTTTTTTGCTTATAAATATTTTATTTGAAAACAATTGACAAATGTGTTTTGGGTGGACTTTTCGTAGATCGCGTGCGGCTAATTTAAAAATGTAATAAAATATTTTGACACTTGTTCTTGAAGATTATAAATAAGTTGAAACGATATAGAAATATAAAAATAAACTATAGGAAATTAGGTATATTGCAAATTATTGAATCATCAAGTTGTATTTTAGAAAAATATTTTCAGCACAAAAAAAATAGAAAAATTTAGTTATATATTATATTAAACTTAAAGTTTTGATGAAAGTTAAAAACGTATCTCGGTTTATAAATAATTTTTGGTAAAATTAAACAAAAAATTGTATGAAAATTTTAAAGTTCAAGCAAATGAAACCAAGTCCATATGAAACCTACTGGATTTTATATACAAATACAAAAAATTTAATAGCGCATGATACCTGTAAAGATAATTTTTGAGATTTATTTTTTTTAGTATTCATTTCATATTTTAAAGTATAAAAGAATATGAAACGAAACTCATATTTGTAAGCAGCACTTTCTGAGCATAGATATACCCCATCGAAAGTGCGTAGGGTATACACAACAATTTGTCTGCCTGGCTTCAGCCTAACTGTTGGAAGGGTCAGCAATTCCCGCCTACTTCCCATATCCTCTGAGCGCCTGCCAGCTCCTACGCTTTCCACGGCATTCGTTGGCAAAGCGACGTCATTGTTGTTGTTGTTGTTGTTGTTGTTACGTGTTGGCGTTGGCAGACAGCATGGCGGCTGCGACGACGTTGCCGTCGTCATTGTTTGTCGTCGTTGTTGCGACTCGGCTGTGACTACGACTTCGACTTTGGCTTCGATGTCGACGGCGTCGGCGTCGGCGTCGGCGACTGTGCTGCTCCTGTGTGTTGGTTTTGTTTGCTCTTTGCATAATGGTCGATGACGCTGTCGTCCAGCTCAGCGTTCCACATTTACGCCATTACGCATAAATCTCTATTTGGGTGTGCGTGTGTGTGTGTGTGTGTGTGAATGGAAATTTTATGCATATTAGCCGTAGCTGTGTCGCTGTCGAGCGACACAACCGCAAACGTCCTTTCTGATAAGGGTTGTCACCCTGCCCGAGTGCCCTCACCCTTGGCTGTGCTTGTTCTAGCTGCCGCTACTGTTGTTGGTGTAGATGTTTTTTGCCGCCACTGTAGACATGCCGCGTGACTCATCGTTCGTTTACATGCAATGTGGAACACACACACACACACACACACTGAGATATATATATATATATATATTTACCGGGGCACACTCCTTGTAGCATTCAGCCATCCGCATCGATTTTCTCGTCTTATTGTTGCTATTTATTGCCGCCAGCGCCGCCGACGCTGCCAACGGCACTTCACCCCCGCCAGCTGTGGCTGTCGCTGCCCGCTGCCCGCTGCGCTGCTGGGTCGCTGCTTCTGCTCGTTGGCATATGTTCTATTTTTAAGCGCACGTCGCTCAGGACGACGACGTCGACGTTGTTCGATTGCTGTGGCTGTTATTATCCGTCGTCGTCGTTTAGTTCCTGTTTATGAGTCATCGCTTCGTGCTGCTGCTGTTGTTGTTGTTGTTGTTGCATTATCCTTGATGCGTGGCCTCGAAAATGCGCTGACGTTGACGTCACAGCTGGCTGGCGTCTTGATTGCTGCTGCCACTGCCGCTGTTGCTGTTGCTGTCAGGTGCGTGTGCAGCAACAGCTGTTAATTTCGCTTGATCATCTTCCATACGCATTTGTCTGGCAGTTTCAGGAAGAATCACCCAACACCCACGCACTACCCCCACTCCTTGGCTGCCCAGCTCTCCCCAATGCTATGAACATGTTCAAGTGTGCATTGTTTTTGTAACTGTTCTCTGTGCAGCGCTCTCACACACCAAGTTCTCGCGCTCTCACCACTCTCTCTCTCTCTCACTCACTCACTCGCTTGCTGTTTGCTGCCAAAACACATTAGTACTCGGGCACGAAATAAAAGAAGAAAAAAAAAAAAAAATAATATTGTGAACGAGTGCTATGAGTCATGATTTTGCCTCAGCCATTGCCACCATACCTCCCTCCCTCCCATTCCGTATCGTGCCGTCCCGTTCGTCCGRCTGCTAATGCCACTGGCACTGCCTGCCTGCCTGCCTTTTGCGCATTCGTTTTGTGTCATTGTTGTTGGGTCCGTCGTCACCTTATGCTTATTATTATTATTACTCTTATGATTGTCTGTATTTCTTATACTACTTATGATTTCTCATTGTTGCTGTTGCTGCTGCTGCTGCTGCGTTTCATTCATTCATCATAATATAACAGCACTTTGTGTTGTGGCCATGCGTGTGTGAGCGTGCGAGCGAGATGGGGGCAAGCACCGCTAAGTATTGCTTGAAAGCTACGTCTCATTACGAGTGAATTGTCGTGTGTTGCTCATGTCTCATTATGCTTGGACTCGACTTTTGTCATTAACACTAGTTGAGCATAAATAGGTAAATGAGCTTTGCAGCACTGCGGCCCCACTTGGCCTAGAAACCAATCAAGCCCCGCAAACGACCGTTTGACATACGACAAGCAGGCCCCAGAGGCCCAACCAATCAATTTTCGAAAGTAACGCCAGCCTGTCTGATTAGACTGTACCTTAATACCACTGACTGTACACGGTGGGCACAGTCGAGGCACGCTAATTGGGTACACTCTGGTGGCACAGGTGATGGGCATGAAAATTCAGTGTATTCAATGAAATTTGAAAACAAAAATCACCGAATTTTAGAAATATTTCAAAGAATTCCGAATTTCATACAAATTTCTTATAAAATATTTTTATGACGAAAGAAAAATTTCATGAATAGTTCAAAAAATTATATATAAATTTCTTATCAAATATTTCTAGCACGAAAGAAATTTCTAAAAACTTCGACTTTTCGAGCAGTCATCGTATATGTTTAGCTCTATATACAAATGTATGTTCATAGTCTATATACATATACATATATATTTGTGCAGTTAACTTATCAGAAGTTTACTATCTGGTCGCCAACAGAGGCCTCTTCTGAGGCATGCCGAGGTATTCAAGTTGACGCACAGCTAAATAAACTCGAAACGGAGCCCGAGCCTTTCGTTTACCTTTCCAGATGTATGTAGGTGTATATAAAAATATATCTCTATTTGATAATGGCATACACATACGCAATAACTAGTACTGAAGTTTTGTTTTTTATCAGACAGGTCTGACGAGCAAATAGATTAGATAAGGGCGCGAGTCAAGTTTGCATGCACCCCATGAACAGTATGGTATTTGCCGAGAGCTGTGCTAGCTATAGCAATGTCCAATGCTGCTTGCCCAGTAATCCTGCAATCCCTGGGGATCGCTCGACCGCTCCAACGTTCGATAGCCCGATCGTCCGATCGCTAGCCGTCGTATGACTAACGCAACGAGCGGCCTCGAGGCGACATTTTTGTTGGCCCCGTGCACATAATTTCAATATTCGTCAGCGAGCTATTTATAAAATGCAAAAAAAAAAAAAAAAAAAAAAAAAAAATACACACAAATCTCTTTCTGTGTGCAGGAATTTTGAAAATTTTCGAACTGTGCCGAGCGCAAGAAATTTGTATGGAAACACTTCATCATCCACACTGTATTATTACAAGGAAGAAATACCAAACGCCCCCGACCGATCTCCATGAGACTCGGTCTTACTCAGAGCGAGACAGCGAAAGATAGAGAGAGAGAGAGAGAGGGAAAGAAAGAGGCGCGAGAGATCAGCATTCGAGTTGCTCGCAAAATTCTTGAATTTGTTTATAAAAACTTTTCGCGTATTATGAATCACAATATCACGAGCCGGTACATATATAAATATACATAAGTGTACACCCCTCCGATACTCCCCCCGCTCATTATTAGTGGCCGTGTTTTTGGGTTGAAGGCAATATCAAAGTGCAGGCGGCGCGCAGATCTCTCAAGTCGAACTTGGAACTGCTTTGTTTCCGTATGACTCGTCGTCGTCGTCGTCGTTGTGGTTGTCAAGTTGAAGGTCAGCTGCATATCCATCATATCCATCAGCTGCTTGACCGACTGATGATTCATGGTCCGCATCAATGGAGTGTGTGTCGTTCATCCTAAGGAAGCACCTGCACCGATTGCAGCATGGACTTCGGAACGATTACGATGCGACGCTGGCGCTGGCGCTGCCTAGGCGCAGCTCAATGAGTAAGCGTTACGATTATTTTTGGGCGTGTTTGACTCAGAGTTACTACAGCCGTGACATATATATACATATACAGAGAGATAGGGGGAACGTGAATTCTTTAAATGACTTAATATAGTATAGATTTAATACTTGAATAATTTTGCCTCATTAAGCAGCGCTCAGATGTGTTAATATGTGAGCTATTGGGATATTATGGGATTATTATGTAAGACTTGCTTAAGGCATTATCAGGCTATCTCTAGCCTAACGGGACACAACTGAAATGTGAGTTCATGTTGCTTAAACTTCTGTAATATGGTTCTCTGACTATGGTTTAAAATGTTTACTATTAGATTTGACACAGCAGAAAAATTTATCTTAATCTATTGCAGATTTCTAGAAAATCTTATTTAAAATATATTCTTATA